TCACCTCTTTCTTAACCCCTGCCTACCCACTCCTCCCCCACCACAGCCCTGCAGTTAACCGTGCCAGAGTGGCTGAAAAGGTTAATGTAGCCCAACCTTGAGTTGCTTGAGGGAGAAAGATGGGACTTTCTACTCCTGTCAAGAGTTTACAGTCTGGGACCCCCAGAGGGAGTTCCACCCGCCCTATAAGGTCGTGGTGAGTCAGCTGGATATGAGTTTTCTGAGAGCTAGAGAAGTGTGTTGTTGTGGTGTGGACGGTGCCAGAGAGATTCCTAGAAAGGCCCTGAAAGTGGGTAGGGCCCTAAGGTGGTGTAAAGGGTTAAGTGTTCAGCTGCTAATCAAAGGGTCGGACCTTGGTGTCCACACAGGATGCCTCAGGAGGATGTTGATGAGCTGCCACTGAAGTCAGCCACCGAAAACCCGGTTCTACTGTGAACACCCCCCCCCCCAGGGGGGTACCAGGAGTCAGTGTGCTCTCCATGGCAACTGAGGTGTTCACCTTCCAACTAACTCTGACAGCTGGCCATTGAACGTCCCCCAGGGCACTCTCGGGGCACCCCACTGAGGGGCCATTCCCAACACTGAAAGACAGCTCCCCTAAGCAGTATAAACTCACTGCCGTCCAGTTGATGCTGACCCACAGCAACCCTGTCGGACAGGGCAGGACTGTCCCTGTGGGTTCCAAGGCTGTCACTCTTTCCAGGAGTAGAAAGACCTGGAGCTGGTGGTTTCGAACCGCTGACCTTGCGGTTAGCAGCCCAACGCATAACCACTCTGCCACCAGGACTCCTGTCTTAAGCAGGGTATTTGACTCCCTAGGTGAACGTGGGCTCCGCCCTCTGACATCTTGCTCTTTGTTGGACCTTCAGCGAGGTCAGCCTGTCCTCATACCAAGAGAAAACTTCCTCCAAAACATCTGTAGACAAGGACATTCCCCTCAGGATCCTCTCGGTCAGGCGGCGGCCCCCTCGTGTGCTGCCTGGGCCCTTCCTCAGGCTCCCCCACCTCGGCAGGACTTGCTTTGCAAGGCCCTCCAGGGCGGGCACTGGACGGAGGCCCATGGTAGGGGCATTGTCAACCTGGCTTTGGGCACCAACCCCTTCAAGTAACTGAAAACTTCCTATCTTCCAGTTGATTCTGACTCAACAGCCTGGGACCGGGTGGAGCTGCCCCTGTGGGTCTCAGAGACCGCACCTCGTTGCGGGAGTAGAAAGCCGAGTCTCTCCCTCAAGGAGCTCAGGCCTGGGTTACGTTGTTAACTTGGCTGAGCAACCCTGACACACGGTGCCCCTGTATTTTCCGTGACTCATTGAACCACCTCGCCTTACTGTCTGTCTGTCTGTCTATGTCTTACACACACACACAGACTGAGGTTAGCCTTCCACTAAGAACTTGACCTTTTTCTTCTCTTCTAAACTCACGTCTATCCATTTATTCTGATACGGTGCCATCTCCTTGGTCATTGCCCTATCAAACAGCCTGTTGACGTAACTCTAAATTTGGGCTTGTTTTTTTTCCTTCCTACGTTATTCTGTCTATTGGTCAAACTAAGAACTAATAGAAATCATTGCTGAGGGTCTTCATCCGATGCCTCTGGCATCAATTTATTAACTAGAAAGCTTCCAATTGATTGATTGCCCATCCCTGAATTGGCATAGCTGAATAGGGAAGCCTGTTGCCTCATTTTTCTCCCACAAGGCAGCTGGTGGGTTCAAACCGCCAACCTTTTGATTAGCAGCCAGTGTCTGATCCACCACAGGCCCACTGGCGGGTGGTAATGTCACTTATCTCTGAGTGACAGAGCCTTCGAGGCTCCGCAGTGAGCTTGGAGGTCTCAAGTTTCCCGCCTCCTTTGGCTTGTCTGTGGCTCCTGACTCCGTTTCTGAAAAGTAAGTTTGCCAGGGCCAGCCACGCTCATTCAGGAGGTCAGGAGTCTGGTGCTGGACACTGAAGTCATGGGCAGCTTCTTGACAATGCTCCTTCCACCAACCACGGGCCCTGTGCAGCATCCGCCGTCTCTCAATGGTCACATTCTGGCCTCGTGCTCTTTCCTCCAGAGCTAGGAACCCGATAGGAGCCGGGTGTCGGCATAGCCTGTCATCTGCCAAAGGCTTGGAGACCCCATCAGCAGCGCTGTGGGTCAGGCGGCGGGCTGTTCGCCTCGTGGTCAGCGGCTCAAGCCCACCAGCTGCCCCGAGGGAGAAAGAAAGATCAGGCTGTCTGTCCCTGCAAAGGTGTACAGTCTCTGGAACCCTACCCAGACTCCAAGGGACTCGAAGGCTGTGGGTTTGGGTATAGCAGGAGGGTCCGGGAAGACCGGCCCTGTTTCTGGCGAGGGTGGGGACTCTGAGTCCACTGTGAGATTGGATGCTTGAGGCATTGCCGCAGGGTCGGGCTATGCCCCTGGGGGTTCTCCTTGGATGTGGCTGCTGGGAAAGGAAGCCTAGTGGTGTTGTGGTTACACTTTGGGATGCTGGCTGCAAGGTCAGCCATTCTAAATAAAACACCAGCTTGCTCCACGGGAGAGAGATGGGGCTTTGTACTCCGATAAAGCATGACAGTCTTGGAAACCCACAGGGGCAGTCCTGCCCTGTCCTCTAGGGTTGCCGTGAGTTGGCCTGGACTCAGTGGCAGTGAGTGGCCATGTGGAAGTGGATCACCAGGCCTTTCTTCCACCATCCTTCTTGTTGGGCTCCAACCTTCAACCTCTTAGTGATGAGCCGAGCTGAGCGCTGAATCGTTTGCCATCCTGGGAACCCTCCTGTGAGGGACATTATTTTGTGTTTATGGTCATAATGTGTTAGTCTGGGTAGGCTAGAGAAACAAATCCAGAGACACTCGTGTGTATAAGAAAGAGCTTTATATACAAGGGTAATTGAATATTGAGAAAACATCCCAGCCCAGTCCAGATCAAGTCCATAAATCCGATATTAGCCCCTATGTCCGATACCAGTCTATAAATTCTTCAGACTTGCAACATGCAATGACGCCGAATGTGTCCCTCCTCCAGGGAGCGATTTATCTCTGTGGCGCCTCCAAAGGAGGTCATCAAGCTGTGACCTGATTGACAGGCTAGACTCCACCTCTTCACTCTTAATAGTCTCAAGTTGACACCAGATTATGTAACTCCCACACCAGGTAACAACACTTACCCCAACAGGGGGAGGCTTGCATTTCTAGGCTCCCCTCTGTTCTAAAGGTGTGGGTCGTCCCACTCTGAGGACTGACTTATGCAGGAGAAACGGGCAGGGCAGAAGAAGTCTTTGTGGTACATTGACTAAGCTTGGCTGCTAAGTGAAAAGTCGGAAGTACAGACCTGCCAGCCTCTTGCAGGGGACAGTGTGCCATCTGCCTCTGTGACAGTGACAGCCAGAAACCCCCGGGGAGGGGGGTGGCATTCCCCTCTGCCCTCCAGAGTCTGTGAGCCAGAATCTGCCAGACGACAATGGACTTGCATTTGGCGGGTGTAATTCAGATGACTAGCGGAGCCCTGGTGCTGTCACAGCAGTTATGTGTTTGGCTGCAATCCAGAAGGTCAGCAGTTCAAAACCACCCTGATATGACTGGACTGCTTTCCTTGAAGGCCCACATGTGAGCACGCTGTTGTTTAAAGAAAGCTTGGGTAGCTTATCAATTACTTGCTGGACGGCTAATTACATAGTCTGTAGTTCAGAGCCACCAGCCACTCCTCCAGAGAGAGAGATGAGGCTTTCTACTCCTATAAAGAGTTGTCATCTCAGAAACCCACAGGGGCGGCCCTGCCCAGGCCTGTAGAGTTGCTGTGAGTCGGCACTGACCAGCACAGTGCCCACCCACCTTCTCAAGGAACCCCATACCTCCAGGCTGTTAGCTGCTTAAAAAAATTAAAATTAAAAATAATACTCACTATCATGGAGTCCATTCCAGCTCACAGAGAGCCTGCAGGACCCACTAGAACTGCCCAGTGCATTTCGAAGACTGTAACTCTTTACAGAAGTGTAACACTTTCCTCCTGTGGCTGTTGATTTTGAACTGCTGAATCTTGGGGTTAGCGGCAGTCCCGCTAGGAACCCACCCACTCCACCACAAGGGCTCCTTACCCAGTACAACTCTGACCACGTCTTCCCAGGATGTAAGAGCCGGCTAGAGCTTCCCTGGGCCTTCTGAGGAGATCAGACTTTTCAGTGTCTTTCCCTGCCTGACCGCTGACCTCGGGGACTTGGCTATCCGACACTGCCCTACCAGCTGTCCCCTCGATGTCCCTCAGCCTGAATGCACAACAGAATCAAACCCTGCCCACCAGTCCTGTGTCACCCTCGCCATTCTTATGCCCACTGTTGCCACCACGGTGTCCATCCGTCTCCGCCAGAGCCCCCTCTTTCTCACTGCTCCTCTGCTTGACCCAGTGTGATGTCTCTTCTGACATCCGTCTAAAGTACATGAGATGGAGTCTCGCCATCCTCTCCTCTCACGAGCACCCTGGCTGTGCTTCTTCCACGACAGATGTTTGTCCTCTCAGCAGTCCTGGGGCTCAGCTAATCCCATGGACTTCCCAGAAGGGTCTGGCCAGCACTTCCTCTCAGCAGGCACTGGGACAAAGCCTGTCACCCCATTTACCCGTCCCGCCAACTTTCTGAGGGAAGAATCAACCCCCCTGTAATAAAGGAAGAACTATGTCCACTAGGCGCTCGTACCCCTACCTGCCCCCCAACAAATGGCTGCCCGTACCCCACCACCCCTGCAACAACCAGATGACAGCCAAGGGGCCCTGGGGCCCAGGAGGAGCCTAAGTGGAGGGAGAGGAGAGGGGGGTGCAGCAGAAGGGCAAAGGAGGGTGGGCCGACGACCTGCTCCGGGGTCCGTCACCCGTTACCCCGGGCAACCTCCTCTGCATGCAGGCTGGTGAGGAGGCCGAGGCCCCGGGATCGTCACGTGAGAACCCTCCCACGGTCCCCGGCCAGGGTGCAGTGGGCAGGCGGGACATGAGCTCGGTCCTCTGACGCGTGTTCTTTCTCCCGCAGGTGTAACGTGGAGAAGGTTCCCAGCAACTCCCAGTTGGAAATAGAAGGAAACAGGTCAGAAACGGTCTCGTGTGGGCCTGTCTCTAAACACAGGTAACCCTCGAGGGCACTCGGTTCCAGCCACCCTGGAGCAGGATGGCGATTCTGAGAAGCCTGGCTGACTGGCACCCAGGCCTGGCTCGGGGTCTCAGGGCTGGGCATCCGCCAGCGACCACCTCAACCTGGGTCATTGTGGTGTAGAAGCTTCATGAGAAACACCTGGGGGGCCTGGCACCCCCTCAGTAAGTGCAGGCGCCGGGTGGCTCGCTGAGTGTGACACATCTGGGCTGGCCACGCCGTGTGGGCGGGGAGTGGGGAGCAGGTGCTCACAGGGCCTCTGCAGAAGGTACACATGGAGGCGGGGAGGGGGGAAGGTGGGTGTCTCCCAGATATGGCCACCTGAGCCCACCTTTCCAGCCTCCTGTGTGCTTGGATGGAAGTCACAACCATCCTCTCTCAGAGCTTTGGACTCTGACAGATGGAGGCTGAGCAGGGGCTGCCGTGCACCACCACCTGGGGTTCAGGGTGGTTACAGGCAGGCCTGCACCCCTCAGAGTTGGCCCTTTTGTTGTGCAAACAGATGGTTGGTGGTAACCCCGAGTCCAGCTAGTCTCTGGCCAAGGTGGGGGCTGGGGCTGGGGCTGAGGCTGTATCCCTTATTCTCACCGATTACTCGCTATACAACCCTTTTTTTAACCAGGATCTAACCAGGACTAGAGGAGGGAGAGTTGAATGGCTGTAGAAGGAGCCCCCCGGGTAGCACAGAGATTTAAGCGCTCAGCTCAGAAGCCATACCCACTGCCCCTGAGTCCACTCCTGATAGGACAGGGTAGAAGTGTCCCTGTGGGATCCTGACGAGATCTCGACGAGAGGAGAAAGCCTCCGCTTTTCATCTGAGGGACCGCTGGTGGTCTCCAGCAGCTGGCGGATAGCAGCCCAGCACAGAACCCACACCGGCTCCGGGCTCTGGAGACGGCTGGTTCAGGCCCCCCGGCAGTGCCATGAAGAAAGCCCTGGTTGTCCAC